TTGATAAAATAATATTTATTTAAATCTATCTATTTATCTTCTGTCTAAAGTTTTAGGTGTATTTCTGTTTTGTTCTACCGATAATTATGTTATACTGAAAAAAGTCCAATTATCATATTTATTACACTGGGGTGATTTTTTTTCTTAAAAATTATATGTATCAATGACATATGTACCTATAACATATTTATTAAAAATACTAGCGGCTCTTGCTCCGCTCGGGTTTGTATTTATTTACGTTTTAACGTTTAGTATAGATATCTCAGAGATGAGATATTTACCCGCAGTAAAAAGTCCTATAGTGGACCCGGATAACCAGCTATCATCATTCCAAATATCATCAAAACCCCTCCAGTGGCTTGCCGTGATGCGGTTACAGACATACAGACAAAAAATCTAAAAACTATAGATTTACTATAACTATAGATAATAATGTCTATTTCAATAAGATTTTCCAAAATATATTTAATGTAAAAATTCGACTCAGTTACAATTTTATTATATGTATAGATTGATGATTGAAATAGACTTTTCGTAACAATAACACTACCAAATAGCTTATCCTTTTTGAAGTCAGAAATACCAAAGTCTGACTCCGGTCAAAAAGTAAAAATGACGAAAAATATCATCCAATATTACGTAAAATAAGGACCAACAAAGAAGGTCTAACAAAGAAGTTCCCAAATTTTGTAAGTATGAATAGGCTTTTACTGTATTAGCACAAACTACCACAACTTTACTGAGCAATATAACTTTTGCGGTATAACAAATGTGAACTCATATCTGAAGATTGAAAATTTTCTATAAACTTTTCCTTAGCAAATAGCAGTATCAATAGTTTTCAAAACCGTTCTTTTCTTATAGTTATTTTTAATAGTTAAAAACTTTTAAGCTTATATTATAAATAAGCAAAGTTTGTGAATTTGGATCTGAAGTCTCCGGAAGTATTGGTCCGACGCTAAAAATATTACTCGTTTAAAAGAATCTCTTCATTCTGTTATATTTATATTCAACTAGCGGCTCACTTTCGTTTCGCTCGGATTCGTCCCTAGTGAAAAACAAAAACAAATGTATCCCACGGGAACCGTTTATTTTTCGTCCAGATAATAAAAATCGTTATGTTTCATCTAGTTCCGTTCAGCCGTTCTGGCGTAATTGAGTAACAAACGTCCATACATACATTTAAACTTTCACATTTACAATATTAGTATAATTATTCTATTTCGATTAACATTTTATTTCATTACTAGCAGAACCCGCAGCTTCGCTCGCTCTAAAACTACAAAAAAAAAACTCTAAAATGGTAGGTTTCATACAAACTTTCATCCGCTATTTTACCCCCTTTTGGGATGAATTTCGAAAAATGCTAAAACGCGTATTTATTTAATTGTATTGAAGAGCATTTATACCAAGTTTCAAGTTATTCTGATCATACATATTTTTTGTATTGTATTATAACATGTGTTATAACATGATAAAAAGTAGCCCATGTCACTCTCCAGCCCTCCAACTATCTCCACACAAAAAAATCACGCCAATCCGCCAAGCCGTTTTGACGTGAAAGAAAGAAAAACAAACAAACACACTTTCACATTTATAATATTAGTATGGATTCTAAGTATTAAATAATATTCAGTCAGCGTGAAGTTAAGTTCAAAACGAAATGATAAAATTAATATACTACATTAAACGAAGTGATATCGAACGAACACCCTCGTGTCCCCTCCATTACGCGACATTCTGTGCTCAACTGGTACAAGAGAACTGAATTGAATCTATATATTCTATCTATCTTCTATATAAATAAAACTGAATCACCGAATTGTATGCAACTGAGATTGGCTCTCGCTACGGTCTTGCCCCGAGGTGATAACATACAGAGCGATTCTCATTACGAAAACACCCGAGTAACATTTATATATTGTATTGTATTACGCGTATAACTTCCGGTCGACTGCATCAAATCGGATTATTCTTTTTTTTGTGTTTGTTATTGTCAGGACAAGCTTTGTATAGAAGAAAATTAAAAGTAAAATTTTTACTAAAATAAGATTTTTTTTTAAATCTCACGGTATGAAAAGTGAGTCAGTGAAATACTTTTTATTCCAGAAATCATCCCTTAAGAGGGTGAGAATAAGGATGAATGTTGGTATTGGGAAGCAAGCTAGGGACCTGAGCAAAGCGAGGGTGAGTCGTTAGTAAATAATACATCTAAGTATCTTTTAACGGAAGTGTCATCCAAATTGATGTAATCGTATCTAATAAAAGACGCGAAATAAATAATTAATACTTAACCCAATACCTATTTAATAAAATCTATACATATAATAAAATTGTAACTAAGCCGAACCTGTACATTAAATATTTTTTGGGAAATCTTATTAAAATAAACATTATTATCGATACAGAGGCTGAATTTATAGTTTTTAGAATTTTTGTCTGTCTGTCTGTCTGTCTGTCTGTCCGTCCGTCCGTCCGTCCGTCCGTCCGTCCGTCCGTCCGTCCGTCCGTCCGTCCGTCCGTCCGTCCGTCCGTCCGTCCGTCCGTCCGTCCGTCCGTCCGTCCGTCCGTCTGTCTGTCTGTCTGTCTGTTAACGCATCACAGAAAAACCACTAGAGGGATTATGATGAAATTTGGTATGGTGATAGCTGATCATCCGGGTCAACATATAGGATAGGTTTTACCGCGGGAAAATGTCTCATTTCTGAAAAAAATACAAAAATTGAAATGTTAGAGTATACTAATATGTAAAATACTAAGAATTTGCTTTTCAACCGACTTCAAAAAGGAGGAGGTTCTCAATTCGACTGTATTTTTTTTTGGTCATCTGAACGCGGGCGGAGCCGCGGGCAGTGCTAGTTTTCTTATAATTCTGTCAATTATAAGTTTTGCATGTCTTTGTAACGTTGAAAAAGCAATTACAACTTTTCTAACTTGATTTTATCGGTGTGATTACTTCCAATCATCTCAGCTGGGTTTTCTTATGTAACTTATTATTCTTTTAGTAGACATCCTTTATTGTATTATTTCTAAATCATTGAAAAAAATATTATGTTTTTACTAGCAACTCACTCTTGCTCCGCTCGGGTTCGTTCCTTAGTACGTTTTAACGGTTAGTACAGATTTCTCAGAGATGAGATATTTGCCCGTAGAAAAAGTATTGTAAATGTAGACCCGGAAGAATCAGCTATCACTATACTAAATTTCATCAAAATCCGTTCAGTGGTTTATTCGTAGTACATTATTAAGCGCTCCCAGACGGACAGACAACAAAATCTAAAAACTATAGATTCGATCTCTGTATCGATAATAAAGATAATTTAAGTGAGAATTTCCAAAAAATATTCAATGTACAGCTTCGATTCAGTTAGAATTTAATTATGTGCATAGATAGCGACTCACCCTCAAAGAAAGCAGATCACATAAAAAAAAATTGTCTCTCAAGATTAATATTTAATAGAAACATTTTAATTAAAAAAAAATCTAACAAAAGCATGTTAAAGACGTACTATAATCATTTTAGAAAATTTGATAATATTAATATCTAGTACATTTATCATGCTTTAGAATAACTCTTTAATTTTGTTTCATTTTATATTACTTTTATGGATGTTTCTTTGAGATGAAGCTTAAATTACATCTTTCTTTGACATAGTCCGGTTGTAAAATGATAATAAAAAAATAATAATATTATGATTAACGCTAAAATGTGTTTGTTGGTTTATACTTCATCAACATATATAAAAGGCAGTGGTAGCTCAGTGGTATCGCACTCGTTCGGGAAACCAAGTGATGCAGGTTCAAATCCCGGGTCTCGCACCTCTGATATTTTCTTGTGCGAACCATTTCCAAAATGATTACTACTTGTCTTTTGGTGAAGGAAAACATCGTGAGGAAACCTGCATGTCTGAGAGAATTTGGCAAGTTTTCGAAAGACATGCTCAGTCCGCCCGCACTTGGCTAGCGTGGTGGACTATGGTCTGATTCCCCTCGTATTGGGCGGCCATACTCCTTATAACATCAGCTATCTACCAGTAAAAGTTCCGTCACAATCACTTTAGCCGTTTCGGAGATTAGCCGGAACAAACAGACAGACAGGCAGATAGAAAGACAGACCTAAATTTTAAAAATTATATAGTTCTTACAAGTACTTTATATACTTTCATATGTTTTTAGTAAAAAGCTGTTATTTTGACATTACATACAGACACTTCAAATTTATTTATCTGTATAGATCCTCGGTTACATAATATAGACACTTCACTATATCGATCGATATGTAAGTACATTCTTCTTCTTCTTAAAGTGCCATCTTCTTTCGAAGGTCGGCGATCATTAAAGCAACTTGTATCTTTGATGCCGCAGCTCTGAATAAGGAACGGGTGCTTTTTCCAAACCATTGGCGTAGGTTTTTTAGCCAAGATGTTCTTCTTCGACCCACATTTCGTTTTCCTTGGATCTTTCCTTGTATGATGAGTTGTAGTAGGTCGTATTTTCGGTTTCTCATTATGTGGCCGAGATATTTATTTTGTTTTGTAATTTTATTTTGTAAGTACATTAAAAATAGATAATTATAAAAAAACATCGTCTGATTAAAAAGCGAACCAAAAAGAATGGAACAAGTTATCGAAGGAAAAGAAATATGTAATCGGAGTAGTATTCGTAATAAAAGTTAGCTTAGATGTTGAATCGAGTAGTACGTTATTACTGCACAAAATGTGGCTAAAATCCTTTTAGTACTTTTCGCGGAATAAAAAAGGATGTACAGTCATACAGACAAAAAAAATCAACAATTTTCGGTTTAGGGTATATAATCTACACATTATGTCGTTCATTCATTGTTTTTAAAAGATATCTTATATACAGATTTGACTTTGTTATTATAAATTTTGTATAGAGTAAGTATGTTCTAGTATGTATAGATAAATTTTAGAAATCATTTGTAAAACAGAGGAAAAAAAGCCTACTGTAAAGTACAAGTATTGGTGGTTTGAACAGACATGCACGAATCTGACGACAAAGATAAGATGATGATGTTCTCCTGGCCGATTCCGGCTACGGCGACCAATCTCATTGAGACTAGCCAACTGCGCAGGAGATATTATAGTGCACAAGTGTATGCGCAGACACAACGTGCACTCTCTATTCCTGTCACTCTCATACTCCGGTGGGACGACTGCTCGACAAGACCAGTGAGAGTTAAGGCGCAGGACCGACGGCTTTACGTGCTCTCCGAGGCACGGGGGTGAAGCACCGCCAACTTCCCAACTCCGGGCTGTTACTGAGGCTTACTATACAGAAAGACTCAAAAACTAAACTTGACCTGACCCGGGACTCGAACCCAGGACCTCCGAGTGTGCAGCCGTACATGATAGCCACTACACCACCGAGGAGATAAGATATCTATCGTGTTACTGCGTAAAATATGAGCAGCATTAGCTATTTACTAGTTTAATTTAGTGGACACCCAGTTACTCCAACTTTTTAAGTTAGGTATTGTGGGAAACAAATAGACATACATACATACAGATTATAAACATTACTCCCCTTTTAAGATTGTCGGTGAAAATATCTTTCGGCAAGCTGTTAATAATGGTTGTTCACCACTTGCGATTTCCCGGACTTATCTAAGCAATCTCTTTATGGCGTTGATATGAAATTCTTTCAGCGTTGGTCCAAACAATATGACGCATTGATGAAAAATATTTGTGAACCATTTGTCTTTGGTCGCTTTCTAATATTGTATTAATAAATATCTGTGGTATATCTTGTAGTATAAATCGTCTTCTAAACTTATAATAAAATTCTAACTCAATCGAATTTGTAAATTAAATATTTTTTGGAAAATCTTATTGAAATAAACATTATTATCGATACAGAAACCGAATCTATCTATGGTTTTTAGAATTTTTGTCTGCCTGTTTGTCTGGGGACGCATCATGAGAAAACTACTTTACAGATTTTATTGAAATTTGGTATGATGATAGCTGGTTATCCGGGTCAACATATAGGATACTTTTTACTGCGGGAAAATATCTCATCTCTGTGAAATCTATACTAAACGTTAAAAGTTAAAACGTACCATAGGATGAACCTGAGCGGAACGAGGGTGAGTCGCTTGTGTTCTATATATTTGTTTATGATTTGATTTTGCATAAGTTTTTATAGGATTTTAAAGCGAAAGATACTTGTAGGCATATTGTACTAGTGACATAACCTGGCTTCGCTCGAGTGCGTCCCTGAGTACAAACATATATCTAGTGTTGTTATCGTTTAATTGATCTTTTATGGAGAAATGAGTCCGTACTGCATCTTTACATATAATAAAAGTGTAACTGATCGCTGTCTGTACATGAAAGATATTTGAGAAAAACTATGATTGAGGGTCTTTGTTTACGCAATAGAACCCAAAACAATGATTTTTAGAATTTTTGTCTGTTGTCTGCGCGCTAATTTCAGAAACGGCTTAACCGATTGTGATGCAGTTTTCACTAATATATAGTAAGCTTCACTTAACATTTAGTATTTATTTTATTTCAATCGGTTCACAAATAAAAAAAAATTGTCAATATAAAGAATCACCTAAGGACGAACCCGAGAGAAGCGAGGGTGAGTCGCTAGTTGTTTTTTATATAAATCTATTGGTTTGCGCGACGCACGCCAATAAAACTCCAGCTTTGCATCATTAATATATATATATATATATTTCGGCCAATTTATAGAAAAGTGTATTCATTATGATACACTTAAACCTTCCTACCTTGAATCACTCCCTCTACTAGTGAATGCCGTATGAGAATCCGTTTGGTAGTTTTTTAATTTATCGCGTTCAGACAGACAGACGGTGACTTTGTGTAGTGATTTAAAACTTATTGAGATTTTGTGCGTTGGTCTCTCCATTAAAGACAAAGACATTTGAATGGGACACTTACATTTTACCTCCTAAAATAAAATTCACCTGAAAATTAACAATTTATCCTGGCTTAACTATGACATGTTGATATCTGTATTTTGTTTTATAATATTACAAGCAGACCCAGCCATGCATTGCTGTGACAGACATATGAAAATAGTTAATTATGCAATAAAAAAAAGAAAATAATTGGGATAAAAACTATTCTATCTTTTATGTTGGAACAAATCAGACATTTTGAAAAAAAAACCCGTTAAGATTGGATAAGTAGTTTCGGAGTTCATCGCGGACCAATATCGTGACACGGGAATTTTATATATTAAATAATTGCTCCAGGTCATAGCCGTCTAAAGTACTACTAAATTTTATCCAAATCAGTCCAGTCGTTACAGCTCGAAGGAGTAAATAACTTCCAGTAACATATGTACAAACTTTCATATTTAGAACAGCATATAATGTGATATGTGTTGCACCCACATGGATTAATTAAAATAAATATAACACAGCACCATCTAGTTCCGTGATAAGCTACGAGGCTTGTGCTATGGATACCAGATAGTTGATACACTACACATATATAACTTTAAATACTTACATATTATAAATATAAACACCCATGACTGGAGTACAACATTCGTGTTCATCACACAAATGACCCCAGTGAGACTCAAACCCGCGACTGCTGGCACAGCAAGTAGGGTCACTACAAACTGAATCAAACGTGTCGTCAAATTATTGAAGAATCTCTCCTGTTTTACACCACACGTTAAAAGGTCGTGTTACGGAAGTTGGGACCCGCAGAAGATTCATCACAGCTATTAGGTTGCTTAGAAGTCATTTATCTTCATGGGAGTGAACATAGTGCACGTTATATCGATCGCTAGTATTGCCATTATACATTTACATAAACAAGCTTTTACTTGCGACTGCTCTCGTATATATATTTTTAAATGTTATAAGTTTAACATGTGTATCTGTGTGTGTGTGTGTGTGTCTGTGGGATCTTAGCTCTCAAACGGATGAACCGTTTTTAATTTAAATAAATATTTTTTTTGTTTGAAAAGTAATGCTTTCGAGAGCGTTCTTAGCTAAAAATCAAGAAAATCCGGTTAATTTGATATCCCGTAACTTTAATGAAATTAGAATGATATGGTAACATTGGCCTGATGCTACAGTGTCACTTGGAATCTGCAAGATACTCAACTCTTTACTAAAATACTGCAAAGATACCGTGTTTAGGTTCGTGTTCGTGTTAGGTTAGGTTCATCCCTGGCTTGCTCTCCCATACAAACTTTCATCCCCATTCTCATCTCCTTAAGGGATGATTTCCAAGATAAAACCTATTCCACTCACTCACTTTTCATATCATGAGATTTAAAGAAATCTTATTTTAATAAAAAAAAAGTTTTTCTTTTAATTTTCTTCTATACAAAACTTGTCCTGATAACAAACACAAAAAAAAGAATTATCCAATTTGGTGCAGTCTACCGGAAGTTATACGCGTACATACATTTCGGTGATTCAGTTTTATTTATACTATAGAAGAAGATTTGAGAGTGTTTTAAGGAAAATTAAATGTAGTTTTGTTTATAAATCTTTTTTTATATTATCTGTATAAAATAAAAAGCCCGATTGTAATCCCTTCTGCTAATGGCTCTTATTTGTCATGCAAATAGAAAGTATACTATGGATTATTATTATGTTAACATTTACAACATTTTTTTATCAGAAAAAGAAAAATTATCTATGAAAAAGAAGGTTAGACTTTAATAAATATTTTGCCTTCATGCTGAAAGTACTCAATATACTTATAGGTGAGAGGCATGTTACTAACTATTTAAATGCCCTGTTTATGTAGTGGCTGGCATATACGGCTGGAGATATCTGGTCGATTGCAAGTCGGACAAAGTTTAGTTATAAGGCTTTTCTGTGAAGAACTTCTCATTAAGAGCACTTTGGAAGTTAGTGATGACACACCCGAGCTTTGAAGAGCACGTAAACTTCGATCCTACATATATCCAGGGCCCGGAAACCCGTTCAATTTTTAAACCGGTTCTCGGTCATTTACCCCAAACCGAAAGGCTTTCTGTAACCAGTTAAATCCCGGAGAACGGTTTTTGACGAATTTAGGTTCCATGATTAAAATTAACCGGTTAAAATGATTTTTTATGCGTTTACATTCATCAATTTTTTGCTAATGGTGAATGGGTAAATGAACGAGCGATGAATTCACTATTATATTACCGAAATAAACCGTTTTTTCAAACCGGTTCCGAGTCCGATATAGGCATCTCACTGGTCGTGTCTAATTGACCACCAGACTTCAAAAAGAAAAACAAAGGAAAGTGCACCCACTTTTTCACTATAATATCTCCTGAGCAGTTAGTTGCCTAGTCTCATTTTGTAAGTCCGTCGTGATCAAAATTTTGTAAAAAAAAAACAATATTTTTACTACCAACTAATCTTGGGAAAAGCAAAACTTGCCGACTGAGGAATAAGTAAATATGTTTATAGTATTAAATGAACATTTCCTCTACTTCAATACAGAAAACCACTATCCGCTTTATTTGTACTACACGATAATTCAAACTCTATGTCTGCGACTATACGGTTCAATTTTAAATGTATACCCACGTTTGAAACAAACGTGGTTATTGGATATTTGATATTAACTTATCCTCTGTAGATCAATAGCTGCAAAGAAAATCCTATTAAATCTCGATATGATTTATTACAAAGGAGTTTGTTGAAAAAACAGTTTTTATATTTATTATATTTTTACAGCGATAAAGAAATTAAAGTGTTTGTTTTTGTGATGTTATTCCTTTTATTATAGACTAGCAGCTCACCCTCGTTTCGCTCGAGTTCGTCCCTAGGTACGTTTTAAGGGTTTGTACGGAATAGATAGAGTATATATTATATTAGCAAAACCCGCGACTTCGCTCGCGCTAAAACTACAAAAAAAAACTCTAAAATGGTAGGTTTCATACAAACTTTCATCCCCTATTTTGCCATCTTATGGGGTGAATTTCGAAAAATACTAAAAGACGTATTTATTTAATTGTATTGAAGAGGATTAATAGCCAGTTTCAAGTAATTCTGGTCATAAATAATTGCTTGACTGTGGGAATGAAATTATCTCCCGCGGTAAAAAGCCTTTGTCACTCTCCAGCTCTCCAGCTATCTCCACACAAAAAATCACGTCAATCACTCTGTTTCGACGTGAGAGAAAGACAAACAAACAAACACACATATTAAAAAAAGTATGGATTACTGCTCCTTTTTTTAGGTAACATGATGATATTACTATAGCCTTTCTCAATAAACGGGCTA